TTCGCTAACTTCTACCGTCGGTTTATTAAGGGCTATTTACGGCATATAATGCCTCTAACTAAGCTTACTAAAACTAAGGCTAACCTAACTAGGGAGTTTAAATAGACTAATAGAGCACAAGCCGCTTTTAACGGCCTAAAGCAACGTTTTACTAATGTCCCCTTATTGCACTATTTCGTACTAAACAAGCAGATCCGAATTAAGACTAACGCTTTACAGTTCGCTATATCGGCTATTATGTCCTAGCAATTAGATAATAACTATTATTAGCACCCGATTGCCTTCTTCTCGAGGAAGATAATTAACGCTAAGCGTCGCTACGAGACCTACGAGCAAGAGCTCTTAGCTATTGTCGAGGCCTTTAAGTATTAGAGGCATTACCTCGATAGGGCCTAATATACGATATAGGTCTATATAGACTATAACAACCTCCGTAGCATTACTAAGGTTACTAGGGTTATAGGTCGATAGGCTAGATAGGCCGTCTACCTCGCCGGGTTTAATTTTAATATATTATACCGGCTAGGCGTAAGTAACCCTACCGATAGCCTATCGAGGCGACCTAATTACGATAGCGAGACCTAACACATTAATTCTTTGTTTCCAACCCTATAGCATAAGATTACTATAGCCCGTATTATTAATAAGTACGCGTAGGATAAGCGGCTTACCGGACTCCGCGACGGCTTAAAGTATATTAATGCTCTTGCTATATTAATAGTGCGTATTAAGGCAAGGGCTAAGGACATAGATAGGAGAAGTTATAATAACTCCCTAGTCGATATCGCTATATATATTAATAGCGATTAAAGCACTAATGCAGTTAATCCGGCTGCTAGTGCTATTAGATGTATATAATACGTACCTCGTTCTATAGCGAGGGTGCTATTAAATAACCTTACAGATAGGGATAGTTAATCGTTTATAGATAAGCTATTACAGGCTTAGTAGAGGGACGCCTTTGCTGCTAAACGTATAGACAAGCTTATAAGTAGGCGAAAGACTCGATCTAGTAAGAGTAACAATTAGTCGATCGATAACAAAGGTTATTTAAAGTTTAAGGGCAGATACTATGTCCCCGCTAAACATTCGATCCGACAAGAACTTCTTAAGCGATACTATAATAGTAAGCTTGCCGGTTACTATAGCATAGAGAGGTCGCACGAGCTACTATCGCGTATATACTACTAGCTAAATAGTAAGCGGGACATAAAGGACTACGTAAACATATATGCCGTATATTAACGAGTTAAAGCGCCGAAGCACTTGCTATTCGGCGAGTTGTCTTTACTCCCTGTTCTAAAGAAGCTATTTATAGAGCTTATAATAGACTTTATTATAGGACTTCCGCCTGCTAAGCGTAGGGGGGAAGTGTATAATACTATTCTTGTTATAGTAGATCGATTTACTAAGGGCGCTCGATACATTCCGGCGCGCAAGGATTAGACTACTATTAATATAGTAGAGGCGCTATAGACTAACATCTTCTGTACCTATTAGGGAACCCCTAAGGGGATAGTCTCCGATAGGGGCTCGACATTCATATCGCACTATTAGAGCGAAATATACCTATAGCTAAGACTAAAGCATCGGCTATTAATAGCCTTCTATCTATAGACTAACGGTTAAACAGAGAGGCAGAATGCTACCCTATAGCAGTACCTGCGTAGTTATATTAATAAGAACCCCGAGGACTAGGTCAACCTCCTATAACTAGCTAAATTCGTATATAATAATAGTGTCTACTTATCTACTAAGGTCTCCCCTTATTTTGCTATAATAGGCTAGAACGCTGCCTTACTATAAGATCTATTTACCTCGCTCGAGGCCGAGCGTAAGGAAAGGGAAGCGCGTTAAGTACCCGAAACACTAGCGGCTATTAAGAGGGTTTAGAAGATGCGAAAAATCTATACTAAGATAGCCGAGAAGTTGATAAAGGCTTAAGAGTACCAAAAGACCTACTACGATAAGCACTATACGCCGATGACCTTTAAACAAGGTAATATAGTTATGCTTAGTATAAAGAATCTCCGCATCCGCAAACACCTATCTCCTAATAGCAAAACAAGGCCTAAGCTCGTACTAAGATATATTAGCCTATTCCGAATCCGAGAACCGAAGGGCAATAGCTAGGCCTATTAGTTATAGCTTCTACCCTATTATACTATCTATAACACCTTCTATGTATCCCTCCTTAAACTATACTACTAGCGCGAAGGCGATAAAGCGCCTACTAAGTCAGAAGAAGTCTTAGCTAATAGCGAAGAGCTGTAGTCTATAGAACGTATCCTATAGCACCGGACTAGGAAAGGTAAGAAGGAGTACCTATTAAGATAGTAAGGCTATTTACCTAAATAGGACTCGTAGGAAGCTGAAGGTTCCTTTAAGGACATAGCTAAGCTATTAGACGAGTATTGGACTAGCGTAAAGAACAAGAAGAAGGCTAAAAGCTCGTAATATTACTAAGGCTTAGGAACAATACTACCCCCGGGGTACTATTAGCTAACTAATTAGAGGCAAGCAATTGTTAGTAAAGGATAATAAGACTATACTACTATAGTAAACGCGCACCGAGTATTAACAAACGCGCTATAGCGCGTTAACTAATCGTACGCTCTTTTAAGGGCTCTACCTCTTTACTAATACGCCTTGCAAGGCCTTCTCCTAGCACTTAGGTCCCCCTCTTGTTTCTTTATTCTATCGAGGCCTCGAGGCCTAGGCAATCGGCGAGGACGACGCGGCCGGCGCGGCTATATTAGTAATAGTGTTACGGAGTGCGTTGCCGTTTAAGAAAGGAAGGACACCGCTATATTAGTAACGGTGTTGCCGAGTTATTGTTAGTTAAAGAAGGAAATTGGAAGAAGGTAAAGTTAGCGCTAAGGCGACTAGCGCCGCTATTGTTAATATTACTTGCTATTGTCGCTACGCCTATAGACACAACCTTACCTATACTACGAGCCTAAGGCACCTTTAATTAAAACTTTAATTAAAAGCTTTAAGCCTGCTAAAGGTTTGATTAAAACTTTAACTAAGTTAAAAGATTAAGCGACTAATAGACTAACTAAGGGCAAAAACTATAGAGCTAAGCTAGCCGGGGTTAATCTTGCGGACAATAGGTTACTCCTCGATCTTTCCGACCCTTTAAGCGAGGCGAACCTCAACTATTGCACTTATAATAGCCTTTACCTACAGAAACTAGAAGAACTAAGTTTTTTGAAAAGATATAATTAGCTAACACTTAAAGGCTACCAAACCTGACTATTTTAGGCTAGTAAAACTATAACAGTAAATAATAACCCTCGGAAGCGGACAAACTCTCGGAAGCGGACATTGCTAAGTCTTTTAAGAGTAGACGTAGAGAACTCGGTACGATATTACTTAGAGCGGAGGTAGGGCTATAATACCTCGTACGACTACCTATTATAGTAGGGAAGACGCGCTCGTATTATAATTAGTCGAAGGCCCTTAATTCTTGTAGATATATATTACTTTATAGTTTATTGTATATAGGGATAGCGTAGTTAGAGTTAGACATTGTACTATATTAGAGGTAAGGTTTAATATAGTTATATAATTAGGTAGTTAAGTGTTTAATTTAGCGCGGGCTAAGTAGCTTATTAGACTTGCTAAGTTAGCGGCAATAGAGGTCGTAGAGTATAGACAGGCTACGAGGGCGCGGCCTTTAGAAGGGAAGCGTATATTAGAGCTAAAGAGGCTATACGTGATTAGTATATAATTAGGCCGAGTAAAGCTAGGGTCTTAGTACCTTAGGCAGGGCTTAGCGCTTAGCGTTAGACTAACTAGCCTACCTTCCTCCCTCTCCTCTTAGATCTCTATCGAATACTACCTATACCTACTACTACCCTATCTACCTACTAATATAACCCTTCTTATACCTTACTAAGTTTATAGTGCCTAAGAAACCGGTCTACCTAGTCTATACTAAATAGTGCGATTGTATCTCTTAATATACCTTCTAGTAATACTCTCGCTAGTATATCTATCGCTATAACCGCGATTAACGCTACTAGTAAGAATATCCCTATTCGGTCTCTTTCTCGATAATAATCTACTAGCGCTAATTCCTAGGACTAGTCTAGCTTAGTGTTAGTTATAGGGCGCGATATTAGCGATCTACGGCCTTTTAAGCGCTAGTAAATACAGCTATATATATAGCTTGCCTTCTCGGCCTTATAGAGTACGCAAATACTAACCTTCTTAGCCGATTTAGCCTCTATTACGCGGTACCTCGAAACGATACGATCTACTACCCTCTCTACCCTCTCTGCCTTAGTTAACCGCTTAGTATATACCTTCTTTATATTTTCGCTCTTTTTACGCCCTATACTAAGTTTTCTATACTCTTTATATACTAGAAAGAAAGAATATAAAGAATACGCGCCTTAGAATAAGGTAGACGCGCTTACTAAGGATTATATAAGAAAACGGCGGTAGTAAGGTCTATAGCTACTATATACTCGGATAAGGCTATATATATAATATTTAGACTCGCGGTTCCTTACTATATCTACTTAGATATCCGAATAGGACTAGAATATACGATTATATCGAGATTTACGTGTGGCCTACTAAGAAAGTGCGATTTTACGTATAGTTGAAATCCCCGCGACCGCGGGGTGAAGTGTGACTAACGAAACCCCGGATAGTCACTAATCGCGGACCGTCGATTCTGAGCAGCGCTATTCGCTCAGATCCATGAAAATGCGGGGATACCAGAGTATCCACTGTCACTCCGATGCGTACAGACTCTGTATACTGGCATAATCCTTGGATCTGGTGTGACCTCAGTGCAGATAACATTCTTCGCAGCCAATCGGCACCGTACGGAATTTATTCTAGCGCGGAGCTTATTTGACAGGTCGTCCCGATCAGCCTGGCAAGTTGTGCGCGACCGTGATTGAGAGTACATGGTCATGATCTTTCAGAGAAATTCATCACGAGCACAACGATACTTCGAAAATCAGTTCCGAAAGAGACATGGGGGAACGCTTGAAGTCTCAAAAGAAAAACATGGAGGATCAAGCGCAATGGTGAGAGACGAGACCCACACACCTGAGAAAATACACACAAGCTCATTTGATTGCAGTATAGCTCAATCGAAACCTTTCGAGTTCCTGATAGGACCGGACGAAGTGGCCTTCTTCATCCATCGCGGCCTTGTCAAGCAGCATTCGGAACCTCTCGATGCGCTGGTCAATGGTCGAATGAAGGAGGCGAAAGCTGGGTCTGCTTCTATTGTTGATGTCGATGAAGCCACCTTTGCCCGCGTGACGGAGTTTATGTACACTGGAGATTATTCCGCGGCTGACTTCTCGCTGATCTTGGATGCTGCGGGAATCAACGAGACTGGCAGTGCTGGGCCGACTGAGGTCCAGGCAACGGAGCAGGTTGATTCAACAGTCAACGCAGACTTTCAAGATCCAGCAGATTCGGGCTTCGACGACCCGATTCCATCTCAAGACGACGGCTGGGGTGGTCATTATAGCAGAAAGAAGAAAAAAAGAAGGAACGCGCCGGCGCCCTACATGGATCCAGTGGTCAAACCTGCTGAGAACACCACCACTCGTAAATCCCGCGCTTGGCAAGTCTTCACATCTCGACCAAGCCCAATCCAATCATCTCGAAAACTGCAACCAAGCTGCGAACCTCGACCAAACAAAGAGCCTTGCGAAGAGTACACCGACGTATTCCTCTCCCACGCCAAACTCTACGTCTTCGCAGACACTTACGACATCGCCGGCCTCCGCGCTCTATCCCTCCACAAGCTCCACAAAACTCTGGCGTGCTTCACCCTCTACGACCAACGCGTTGAGGACGTTGCGGTTTTGTTTCAGTATACTTACAACAACACTGCGGAACGTGAGGGCACTTTGGATCCCTTGCGCAAACTTGTTGTGAGCTATGTTTGTTGTCATATTGAGAAGATTTTGGTGTGTGATACGTTTAGGGCGACGTTGAAGGGGGAGAATTCTGCGGCTGTGGATGTTTTGGAGAAGGTTAGGGCGAGGTTGGATTGAGGGGGTTATTTGCTTGTTGTGAAGAGATGGCACCTGAAGTGTGCCACGCCGAGAACAAATTATCGTTTCGATCGCGCATCGCCGTACGTTCTTTTAGTGCGTAACTCTGCAGTTATACGAGCTTTATCCAAGATAAAAGCGGAGGACAAGGCCATATAAGACTTGGGTCTGCTCTCCAAACAATCTCATTTTTGTGCTGCTACATGGAAACCACACCGATACGACACTCTGGACCTTCGCTTTTCGCAGCCTGGCACTCACCCTGTTCCCATTCAGACGTTCATTCTTCAAATTGGCGAAGCCACCCAAGCCTACCTTTCGTACCTTTCGTAGAGGGTTTGTATGGAGACAGCGCCCACCTACGCCACTCCACCAATGCTAAATGCACATCGTCTCAGCTCTTGCAGCTTTGCAGCCATGACTTGGTGGTACACATCGGCATAAGGCCTTGCCACATCTCGCATGTTTAATGACCGCAGACGTTCGAGTACTCGCCCGCGTCGCTCGTCGCTATCTTTAACCTGCAGTCGTTTGTACCACCTACCCGAAAGTCAGCTCAGTTGGGCACAAGGATGCGATCATGTTCAGAAGGCCGACTGACAAGTCTTCAGCCACAGAACTTCCCAAGATAAAGAGGATGCCCGGAGCGTCCAGGTCCCTCTCCAGCTTCGAATACCTGCGGCCATACTCGATCATACTCTCTGCGACCCGGGCCAGGCTTTCTGGACTCTGTTCCCCAAAGGCGCCGTACCTGGCCCATCGTGTCGCGTCTCTCGGGAATTCTTTGAGTTGGAACATCAGCACGCATGCACAGCGCAGAACAAGCCGACACTAAGTGTGATCATCCTTGCTGCGCTGTGCATACTGGAAGCAGAGGATCAGCCAGACTTGAGGATCGCCCGGCGGCATGGGCCCCATTTCAAGCGCTTGCCAGAAGTTCTCCGTCCCATTTGCCCATTTGGGGGCTTTGTCTCCAAGGAGTCTCATCGTCGCGGCATCTGGTCCTTGGTACTGGTACAGATTGTTGAAGCGCGTGGCATCTCTTTCTCGGGTCGCCATGTTACGGTACATGTGGCAATGGAATGAATTTGGCAGGAGATTTGATGAGGTCCCTATTCTCAATTTCAAAAACCCCGGGCTTTTCAGCCGCGGGGCAGCTGATAGTGCCCCTATGTGTTCTACTACACTAATTCTACTACCACTCCCGGCATACTATACCAATAAATTCCATTGATTTCCTAATAAATACTATAAGCTCGCCGCTTTATTTTAATATAGATATCGACCTAATTAGTAGTATTATTATTACGTAGGAATACGGCGCAGATAATAGGGCGTATAGCTAGTTACTAAGCGGACCCGCTAAACACCTATTTTTAGCTTTCTTAGCATTCTACGGTCGGTCTAGTAGACTAATATATACTATAATCGCAAGAGTCTAAGTTAATACCTAATCTAAGGAGAATCTTTATCGCTATTGCCTCTACTATAAGGTATAGTTACGTAGGACTAGACTAAATTGCCCGACTTGTCGCAAATCTATATAGTTCCTCTACCTCTAATTCTAAAAGAAATACTACTACTAAGCGACGCCTCGATATACGATAATACTAGCGATTTAATAGCTACGGACGAAGGACTAATATATACTAGAAGAGATCTAGTAGATATTACCTTATTATAGGACGCAAGAAGGTAGACTAGAAGGACGAGAAGTTAGGCTCGAAGCCAACCTCGAGAACTACCGTAATATACTCTATAATTGTAAGAAGGGTTATATTAGTAGGTAGATAGGGTAGTAGTAAATTAGTTTAGTATTCGATAGAGATCTAGGAGGAGAGGGAGGAAGGTAGGAGAGTTAGCCTAACGCTAAGCGCTAAGCCCTGCCTAAGGTATTAAGACCCTAGCTTTACTCGGCCTAGTTATATACTAATTACGTATAGCCTCTTTAGCCCTAATATACGCTTCCCTTCTAAAGGCCGCGCCCTCGTAGCCGGTCTTTGTTCTAGTCTTAACCCCTATTACTACTAACTTAGTAGGTCTAATAAGCCGCTTAGTCCGCGCTAAATTAAACACTTAACTACCTAATTATATAACTATATTAAACCTTACCTTTTAATACAATGTCTAACTCTAACTGCGCTATCCCTATATATAATAAACTATAAAGTAATATGTATCTATAAGAATTGAGGGCCTTCGACTAGTTACAATACGAGCGCGTCTTCCCTACTATAATAGGTAGACGTACGAGGTATTGTAGCCCTGCCTCCGCTCTACGTAATATCGTACCGAGTTCTTTGCGTCTACTCTTAAAAGACCTAGCAATGTCCGCTTCCGAGGGTTGTCCGTTCCGAGGGATTGTTCTTATTGTTACGAGGGCTATTATTTACTATCGTAGTTTCACTAGCCTAAATTAGTTAGGTTTAGTAGCCTTTAAGTGTTAACTAATTATATCTTTTTAAAAAACTTAGTTCTTCTAGTTTCTATAGGTAAAGGCTATTGTAAGTATAGTAGTAGAGGTTCGCCTCGCTTAAAGGGTTAGATAGATCGAGGAGTAACCTATTATCTACAAGATCGACCCCGGCTAGCTTAGCTCTATAGTTTTGCCTTTAGTTAGTCTATTAGTCGCTTAATCTTTTGACTTAGTTAAAGTTTTGACTTAGCCTTAAAGTTTTAATCAAACCTTTAACAGGCTTAAAGCTTTTAATTAAAGTTTTAATTAAAGGTGCCTTAGGCTCGTAGTATAGGTAAGGTTGTGTCTGTAGGCGTAGCGACAATAGCAAGTAATATTAACAATAGTAGCGCTAGTCGTCTTAGCGCTAACTTTACCTTCTTCTAGTTTCCTTCTTTAGCTAATAACAACTCGGTAATACCGTTACTAATATAGCTGTATCCTTCCTTTCTTAAACAGCAACACACTCCGTAATACTATTACTAATATAGCTACGCCGGCCGCCGGCACACTGCTAGCTCGTAGCGCGACACTATTATCCTCGATAGGATAAAGGAATAAGAGGGGGACCTAATACTAGGGGAAGGCCCTATAGGGCGTATTAGTAAAGAGGTAGAGCCCTTAAAAGAGCATGCGATTAGTTGTCGCGTTATAGCGCGCTTGTTGATACTTAGTACGCGTCCGCTATAGTAGTATAGTCTTATTGTCCTTCGTTGCTAACAATTGCTTACTTCTAATTAGTTAGCTAATAGCACCCCGGGGGTAGCATTGTTCTTAGGTCTCTTTTAGTAATATTGGCGGCATTATAAGCTCTTAGCCTTCTTCTTGTTCTTTACGCTAGTCTAATATTCGTCTAATAACTTAGTTATATCTTTAAAGGAACCTTTAGCTTCCTACGAGTCCTATTTAGGTAAATAGCCTTACTATCTTAATAGGTACTCCTTCTTACCGTTCCTAGTCCGGTGCTATAGGATACGTTCTATAGACTATAGCTCTTCGCTATTAGCTAGTATGTCCTCGGATTTAGCAGGTGCTTTATCCCCTTTACGTAGGTAGTACGGCTTAAGGAGGGATACGTAGAAGGTGTTATAGATAGTGTAATAAGGTAGAAGCTATAACTAATAGGCCTAGGTGCCCCTAGGTTCTCGGATACGGAAAGGGCTAATATACCCTAGTGCGAGTTTAGGCCTTGTTTTGCTATTAGGCGAGGGGTGTTTGCGGATACGGAGGTTCTTCGTGCTAAGCATAACTAGGTCGCCTTGCTTGAAGGTTATTAGAAGGTAGTATTTGTTATAGTAGGCCTTCTAATAGGCCTAGGCCTTTGCTAGTTTATTAGCTATCTTAGCGTAAATTTCTCGCATCTTTTAAACCCTCTTAATAGCCGCTAGTATCTTAGGTTAACCCGCTTCCCTTTCCTTGCGCTCGGCCTCGAGCGATAGGGGGTCTTATAGTATAGTAGCGTTCTAGCCTATTATAGCGAAATAAGGTAACACCTTAGTAGATAAGTAGACACTATTGTTATATACGAATTCGGCGGGTTATAGGAGATTGACCTAGTTATTAGGGTTCTCATTAATATAGCTGCGTAGGTACTGCTACAGCGTAGCATTCTGCCTTTCGGTCTAACTATCTGTTTATAGATAGAATGCTATAGACAGGCGATGCTTAAGTCTTAGCTGTAGGCAAATCTCACTCTAATAATAAGATATGAATGTCGAGCCTCGGTTAGAGACTATCCCTTTAGGGGTCCCCTAATAGGTATAGAAGATGTTGTTCTATAGCGCTTCTGCTATATTAATAGTAGTCTAATCTTTCCGCGCCGGGATATATCGAGCGCCCTTAGTAAACCGGTCTATAACGACTAGGATAGCGTTAAAGATGTCTTTACTTCCTCTTCGCTTAGTAGAGGGGAGACCTATAATAAAATCTATTGTAAGCTCTACAAATAGCTTATAGGGAATTAGCAATAAGGACAACTCGCTAAAAGGCTAATACTTTAGTGCCTTAATACGTTAGTATACGGCACACGTATTAACGTATTCCTTTATATCCCGCTTACTATTTAGCTAGTAGTATATACGCGATAGTAGCTCGTACGACCTCTCTATACTATAGTAACCGGCAAGCTTACTATTATAGTGTCGCTTAAGAAGTTCTTATCGGATCGAATGTTTAGCGGGGATATAGTATCTGCCCTTAAACTTTAAATGACCTTTGTTATCGACCGACTAGTTACTCTTACTAGATCGAGTCGTTCGCCTACTTACAAGCTTGTCGATACGTTTAGCAGCAAAGGCGTCCCTCTACTAAGTACGTAATAGCTTATCTATAAACGATTAACTATCCCTATTTGCAAGGTTATTTAATAGTACCCTCGCTATTAAACGAGGTACGCATTGTATGCATCTAATAGCACTAGCAGCCGGATTAACTATAGCAGTGCTATCGCTATTACTATATATTGCGATGTCGACTAGGGAGTTATTATAACTTCTCCTATCTATGTCCTTAGCCCTTGCCTTAATACGCACTATTAATATAGCAAGAGTATTAATATACTTTAAGCCGTCGCGGAGTCCGGTAAGCCGCTTATCCTACGCTTGCTTATTAACAATACGGGCTATAGCAATCTTATACTATAGGGTTGGAAACAAAGAATTAATATATTAGGTCTCGCTATCGTAATTAGGTCGCCTCGATAGGCTATCGGTAGGGTTACTTACGCCTAGCCGGTATAATATATTAAAATCAAACCCGGCGAGGTAGACGGCCTATCTAGCCTATCGACCTATAACCCTAGTAACCTTAGTAACACTATAGAGGTTGTTATAGTCTATATAGACCTATATTATATATTAAGCCCTATCGAGGTAGTGCCTCTAATGCTTAAAGGCCTCGATAATAGCTAGGAGCTCTTACTCGTAGGTCTCGTAGCGACGTTTAGTATTAATTATCTTCCTCGAGAAGAAGGCAATCGGGTGCTAGTAGGTATTATTAGCCTACTATAACATAATAGCTGATATAGCGAACTGTGAAGCGTTAGTCTCAATTCGGATCTGTTTACTTAGTACGAAATAGTGCAATAAGGGGACTTTAGTAAATCGCTTCTTTAGACCGTTAAAAGCGGCTTGTGTCTTATCGGTCTATTTGAATTCTCTAGACGGGTTGGCCTTAGTTTTAGTAAGCTTAGTCAGTAGCATTACATGCCTCGAATAGCCTTTAATAAATCGGCGATAGAAGTTAGCAAAACCGAGGAACGACTATAGTTCCTTAATTAACGTAGGAACAGGCTATTTAGTAATAGTCTTAATCCGATTAGGATTAGCCTTAATACCCTTAGTTAATACGAGGAAGCCGAGGAATAACACCTCTTTAGTAGCAAAGGTGCATTTAGAAGGCTTGTAATACAATCTATAGGCTCGTAGGCGGTTGAGGACCTTACGTACTACGGCCTAGTGTTCTACAATATTAGGTAAATATATATAAACTAGGATGTTATCTAGGTAAACTATATAGAGATAGTCTAATAGGCCCGAAAGGGCCCGATTAATATAGAACTAGAATATAGTAGGGGCATTAGCTAGCCTAAATAGTATAACTAAGTACTTAAAATAGC